ATATATATATATATATATGTATATATGGCTGTGTATGTATCAGTTAAGAAAATCAAGAAAATTATGCGGAATGTGTATATGACTTTGAGACGAGAATTCGTGGAATTTGGTTATCCAATTTCGCGATCCAATTCCAAGTTTTTCACCACGTAACCGGGATCGCGTCTATGCCGCCCGGTGACAGGGCAGGTGAAAGTATTGAAAAAGTTTTACACCCGGTAACCTTTCCGTTTCCTTTTCGCTGTTTCGGCACCAGGTCCCTGCCCCTTCCCCTCCCGTCCCTCTGGCAGAGCCCCGATCACATAAATCGTAACCTATCGCCGCCAGGTTGGAAATAATCGGAATAAAGTGATTCAGCGGAATAATAGTAAAGTCCCTCTGAGAAGCGGCATGGCAGATTTTCATTGTGTACCATTTGGGTCAACAATATACCCTTCGAGTATAATGGAACGTGGAATAAGTAGGTATACAAGGGGATTTTTATTTCGCAGCATCATTCGTCATGGATTATACTAGGACGGAGCAAGATCTACGCGCGGCTTTTGGATTAAGTGCCATATCCTAGCGGCGTTATTAATGCACCAAATTATTCAGCAAATTTTACGAATTTATAACCTTCGGCCAAGTGACAGCCGAAGACAAGAACCCTGGTTCTGCTCTGGCACGTTTCTACGTCCGCATCGACCGCATCTCGCGTTCATCACTCATGCGATGACAACTGATGCAGACTGATGTCTGCCGCATAAACACCGACCCCTCCGGTAATGGAGTATCCTCCTCAACCGAAAAAGAGAGACGCCTGGGCCGAACGGGCAGATCCTCTTATCGTCCTTTAAACGTTTCCTAAGCCTACCTCGTCTATAAAACTCCACTTCACTCTCACTTGACAACGAGCACCAAGCGATTAATATTCTTTGTATTTATTTTTACTCATATTTATTTCCAGCGACGGCCTGTATATTTTGGGGCACGGTATAGTTTTCTTTAATTATTTTATGTTAATTTTTTTAATAAATTATTTCCTACGCAATTCACTATATTCGTTGGATAATTTTTGTCATACCGATTCTTATCGTTCCTTTCTTTCTTTGTGTTGGATGTTTGCTCTATCGGGCTGTTTTAATTTACTATCTACTTTTGCAATTATTGTCAGGAGAGAAACATGAGAATATATACGTATCTAATTTGTACAACTACACCATAACATTGTAATCGGAGTGTATTCTAAGACCTGGAGAAACAAGCTGTAACATCTACGAAGCGTCGACAAGTTAAAACTTCCAGATCCGGCTTTTACCCCGAAGCCAATTGTAACCATAGCATCTTCTAGTTACCTTATACCTACTATGTAGCCCTGCAGGGCGAGTTTCGTTTTGTTGTTAGGTTAGGTTAGACGAACTGAAGATCCTATTTCGTCCTCCTAATTTATGTAAACCACCCTTGGCTTCCTTTGGTTATACTAACTACTTGGCTTCGATGGTTCACAAACGTTGAATAATGGCAAATAAATTAATCCTACTGTTTGACGATTCAAGCATATATTCATTTTGAAAAGCCTCGTAGAGTTCTTTCGACTGATTTAAGTATTAACGAATGGAACAAAAATTATTGTACATAGAAGTGTCAAGCAATACATTATAATTTGTTAAAAAAAAATAAAAACGTTCATTAATGCACTTCCAAGGAAACTGGCATTAAGACAGCCTAATAAGGCTTCTTTTTTTTTAATTTTTAAATCACAAAATATATTACGATGAATAACGATGGGTCTTGTTGCGTCCCAGTTTCTTCGCTGACTATAAGTACCAATATGGACAAAGAGAAGAAAGGAAATCAGATATCGCAGATTTCGCAAATTCATCTTCCCTCGACATTCTTGAAGGTATTGGGATTTGTTTCTGTTTGCTAAACTTACCTACTGCCTAATTCATTTCGCGAAACCCTCATCCAGGAAACTCGGTGAATTTCAATATCCTGCATTTTCTCGATTGATATAAATTAAACTTTAAGATTCAGTGTTACCAATCTCTACGTTATTTACGATGAGCACCCCTCAATATCTCGTGGGATCATAATTCCTTGTGAAAAGTTCCTGGTTATGTTCGTAATAACAAACGGCTATACTTCATTCGATATAAATCATATATTCTTTTTTTTTCCATTCTTTATAATCAATTCGAATGGTTCACGCTGACAATCAAAGATTATAGCAAATTACCAAATGCACGGGAAACGCATAAAACGTGAAACTATATAATCTGATTATATGAGATTTTCTTATTTCACTTTTGCCGAAGATGCCATTATAAGGATCGATCGACGAAGCGCGAAAACAGGGCGAGCTACCGAAGCAAATAAACCGTGACTTCTTTGGCACTATGGCGCCGAATATTTCCATTTTGTGCAATATATCATTCTTATAGGAAAAACCAGTCGTCATGGCGCTCTGGAGCTGACGATACGTAAATACGAGAACACCTATAATTTCTCTCTTATATTCACGTCGAATTTACTTATCAAAATTGCCAATACCGTCGATAACGTATTTACCAGTCGTAACTATAGTTACACAGGCAGTACTCACGTAAAGCATTCCGTTACGTGTAAAAATCAAACACGCGTTAAATTTTATAATCCTTTTTTTATGCCTGGAGTACACTTCTATACCTGTTTATTAGGTACTTACGGTGGGTGTATTAGTGCAAGATCAAAAGAAAAGTGAGAAGAGTAATTAACGTGGCAGCAGGCCGCGTATATGCACGGTTCAAAACCTCAGGCCTAGAATAGCAAAGGATTATTTACTACAAGCATAATCATGAATTTCATTCACGTGGTTAAGCCCAGCGGTAGGACCGTAGACTGTTGCCAATTACGATAATCAATATTTAATGGACCAGCATCCACCTAGAATACCAGTAGCAGACAATTTTTTTTTTAAATCATCAAAAAATACCTCACGCTCATGTTCACGCGTGATCGATATTGTATTACAATGGGGTGAGAGGTCGAGTTGGAGGGGGGTGGTAAAATTGAAAATGAACGTTCAAACAGAAAGGAGATCGTTACTGGCGAAACTCGTCCGGTGTGCGACGATGCGGAAATCCCGATCTTGAGATCCACGAAATTGCTCTGTACCCAGTGTAGAACTCTAACCCCGTCTGCACGTCCGCCAGCTGCGGGCGTGACTAGGACAGTGCATTACTGCAAGTGCTTGCCGTGAATTTCGAAATGTAGTCGTCGAGAAGTAAAGGGAGAATCAAGAGCCGTACGCGACGCAATACACCAGGGAGACAGCGTGGCCATCGGTCTGACGTGGTTTTCCAAGATCCGGCAAGTTTATCTCGCGAGTTTATCTTCGTGTAGGATACAGAAGGTTTTCAGGTTCGTCTAGATTCTTTTCGGGGAATCTTCTCTATCTTCCTTAGACTTCCTTGAATATTTCTTCTTCTTCTTCTTCTTCTTCTTCTTCTTCGCTGTCTGTTGTACTGCGTCGAAAGCTTTACTTGACGCGTTGCGGATAACGTCTCGCGGGATAAACTTCTCTCGCTATATTTTATACGCCGATCGGCTGGCGAACCAGCTTCTCACACCGGATAAAGCTTGCGGACTTTGCGTTCGTCGATGGCTGTTGATGCTTTCGGGGCTTCCGTTTTATTGATCGTCTTTCTAAGATTCCTGGCACTGAGGTTATATTCCTACTAGACCGCTCGTCTAGCAGGAAGTGAAGTGGTAGTTATCCACAGGAAGATCGGCCAACGAACCTATTGATTGTACTTCCGAATGCTATCTTCCTGCTGACTCTTGCACGTAACGTGCTGAAGAATACTTCGAAGATCGACTACTGTTGCGACTGTATGAGTCGCTAACGTTTCTTGGTCTTTTTTTTCCCCTTATATTTATTATAGACTGGATCCCACGAGAATCGCCTTATTTCGATATTAATTAGGGGGCGTAGTTAAGAATTCTAAATTAATCGGGTGTTACGGAAACACTATAAAAATTGGCCTATTTGTATCTATTGTCTATATAAACTATCGAGTAAGCATTGATTAAAAAGTATTGTAGTTTAACTATGTATGAGTTCTTTTTTTTTAAATGTCTTTTGAATACTTACACTCATATACTTATTGCTGTACAGTCTATGCTAGTAATCAATAACTGTCGTACCATATGATGGTTGATGCTGTTATCGGTGGAGTATAGCAAGCGCAATTGATAATAATTGTAAATCAGATGGCAAGTAATCGACGAATCGACGATGCCACTAATGTACTTATGTATATGTACCTTCAGTTCGTTGTCAGGACTCGTCGATTTCTTATGAATGGATTATCGTTTAGAATGTTATTTTCGATACGATTAACTGTGTGAGGCAAGAGAGGCTTTATAGTTTATTATTAATATACCTAACTTTGTCATTATAAGGTAAATGACTGTTTTACACGGGGATTTACAGCAAAACATCTCACAATGAACTTACTAATGTAATTAGGTTAATTTTCACGTTAGCGTGTTCTATGCAATGCATTCATGTGCTCTTTTATAAGCGGATGTCATTTAGAATAGAGATTTTATGTGAATTACCTTGCTGTAGAAACAATCTCCTAGATTTATGTGAAAATCGATTCTCCATTCAGATTAAATATCACATTCGCTTTTGATGAATATAAAAAATTCTCTTATCATGACGTATATAAAGTTATTTCTGGTATAATTATTATATCAAGCACTATATCGTAATGCAAAAATAACTGCTGACATATTATTGTTATATGAGAATGTCTTCGAGAAGATTCACACAATTTTGCATTCCTCTTTCGAATAACAAGCAGTGCGTTTCTTTTTATGTATTGCTTGAAACAGTGCAGTCTTACCTTAGATTCATCCGATATGAGTATCATCTACATAATGTGAAATTCATACACCGTAAAAGTTTTTGTATTCCTTAGTTCTTTACGTGATGATAGACGTATAAAGCTGAGATGTTTAGCTGTAAACACTTGCGGATGCATATATACGAACGAAATGAATATTGTAGTACCTACCGAGAGAAGTGCATTTGCATTATAAAAAAAAAACTTAATAAAATTACACGTTAAAAAATGACTGGCATATATTTCTTGTACCTGATACATTTCCGTCTGCATTGTGGAACTTTGTGTTGGACGCGTATTTAGTAAGATGTAATTATTTACCGTCTTAAATACTTAGAATTGTCTGTTGCGTTGAAGGCGCTAGAGTCGACGCCATACAGGTTTAGTGAACTACATTAGCGTCACACTACTGTTTGTTTACTGTTGCGTCTTATAGGTTATGTGACTGTATAGGGCTTTTGAGTACCTGGTTTATATATAACAATAGCTTATATTTTTTATAACAGTGCACCTTATATTTCGTAGAATTTTATAGGTAGGATATAACGTTAGGAGATGGAGAAGAGGTTATAATAGTTATTAAGTGAGTGGATGAATGAGTGCCTTCAATAATTTACTTCAGACTGAAAACTATGGGTTTTATTCAGTTTGTGGCTAGAGCAGCTATTCTGCTTGGGCTAAATTTATAATGTTTGAAACGAAAACGGGTGGATAATGAGTGATTCCGATGATACGGATGTTCTGCTTTTAATCCCACCTGATTTGTTCGTCGTACCATCTTCGGAGTCAGATGAGTCTGAATTACATGTGGGAACAGCCTGCGGCTCCAAAGCCCCAGGAGTCGTATCAGAATTGATAGAGCATATGCAGTCACTAGAAACTAGGATATCTGCAATTGAATCTAAGGATAACAGTCTGGATGTATCGCTGCTCAATAATTCATTGGATTCACAAACAAGGACTACTTATTATTCTCCGTTCAAGAATAAGCAGCTACAATCTAAGAACAAGTTCTCTGTAAGTCAGTCCTCCAGTCTACAAAATACTCCTGCAAAAATTCAAAAGAGCTCATCAGTTCCATCTACTCCTAGCAGCTACCAGCCATCAAACCATACTAATTTCACTCGTAGTGATATAAGGCTTGGGCAGCTTGCTAATAGCAGTCCTAATACTAATATTACCTCAAATCCGCGGAACCAGCATGACTATCTAACATCACTCTCTGAACCCTCTATGCTGCAATCCTCTTCAAGAAGCTCAAGACACCTGCATGCCGATGCTGTATCCTTCAAAGAGGAATCCCACTTAACTATACCATTTGGTTTCAATGCGAGTAAAAATGACTCATGTTTGAAACTCAATGAGCAATTACACCTATCACTATCCACACTAGATCTACCTCAGAAGTTAGGACCACTTCGACCAGAAGGGAAACTAGTGAAAGACATGGAACTCTCAGAAGTTGATGAATTTCTACATGAGATGGAAGCTACGAACTTAGAACTGGCCAGAAGAATCAGCAATGCAACTTCTCAATATCGTCGCGATCCTGTTCAAAATTGCCAAAATATAAAAGCTACTGGTACTGAGTTACCCCAACATCAAGAATCTCCAGTACGTCGACTGGATTTTCATTCCATCAGGAGAGAAGCGCGAAATCCAAATCCTTCATATCTAGTAAGCGATGATAAAAATGAAGAAAAGTTTGCTGATATATCTTTGCCCTATGAGGATTCACTGCCTCTGGATGATACAGAGAAGATGATCTCTGAGTTTAAAAGCTGGCAGCCAATATCCCCTGGCTTACCAGAGAATGGAGGACATTCGATTGAATGCAAAGACGATAAAAATGTTCCAGCCGAGATAAATGTACAGTCGGAAATACAGTCCAGCATTCTTCAATGTAAAGATTTGACAGTTGAACAGAGCCTCCACAATATCGACGCCGGAGTGACTGCTGTAAGCACTGAAACTATGCATACACAGTCACGACCAGGTTTTACTAGCATAGGCACTGCTCTCTCGTCGATCAATGAGATTACCAAATCTAACAGCTCGATTCATTCTAAACAGTCGGATATAAATTTGGACGATATACCTCAAATGTATAGGAAATCTCACATCGACACTTATTTCCAAAACACTATCAATGAGGTGCATACGATACCATCTTTTAAAAATACTAGTCATGCAGCTACAAACACAGAACCGTACTTAAGGTACATTCTTTATTTTATTTATTTTCCCTCAATATACAGATTAAACATTCGATATGAACTCAGAGTTTCCGTTGCATCACATCACTACCAATTTAAACTAGGAGCACTTCGCAAACTATCTACACAAGTATCATCTACTCTGTTTCTTCCACTAAATCCTATTTCATACAAATTTCCTTTCTTTAGAAAGTCACAGCGACTCTTAACTTTATCCGATTTCTGGGATAGTAATACCGTCAAATCGCAAGAAGAGATGTTCAGGATTAAGCTTGAGGAAGAGAAATTTCGAAGAGAGGTAAATATAATATATTTTAGTTGTCTGACTTAAATAATATCATTGTGGAATTTTTAGCATTGCGAGCATCTGATACAGGAGCTTCAAAAACGATTGCTTGAGCAACAAGAGAAAGTTGCAGTCGCTATTAGAGTGGACAATGAGAAAAATGTTGTAATATCACAATTTCAAAGTGCATGGGCCAAGCTTAAAAATCGTTGGCATGTTTTGGAAACGGAACATCGAGATCTCCAGAACACTTTGAAAAACTTGACAGAGAAACATAATTTGGAAGTGGCGGAATTCCAAGTACAAATCAAGCGTTGCGAAGGGGAATTATCAAAAGCTCTAGATTTGGCGGCTGGATACAAAGAAAAAAGTGACAGCATGATTAAAGAAAAATTAGATTTGTTAAGGAGTCACGCTGATGAACTAGAGAATTACAAGTCTCTTGTACAAGAAGCAGAAGCCAGATACGAACAGATGAAAGGAGAATATAATAAACTTTCGGAGAAAAATCAGCAAGTGGAAGAAACACTAAAGACTGTTCAGCAAGAATTGAATAGAGAATGGCTAAGGAGCGGAGAAGTGAGAAACGAAATGGCAGTAATTCATAAAGCCCTAGATGCTTGTGAAGCCGAGCTGACCGTACTTCGCCAAGAAAAGGAAAACTTGCAACTGAAATTGAAAGAAGAGATGAGTAGGAACAGTATTCTTGAACAAAATAAATCCTCCTTATTAGCAACAATCGACGACGCGAAGAAGGCAGAGGTAAGTAGTCCATAACAGAGTACTTCAATATGAAAGAATTACGCAGAATTAACGTAGGAATTCATAATTTTAAAACCTACAGAAAACGGCGAAGGAAGAAACAAAGTCTGTGCTTGAGCAACAGGAAAAAATCAGGACTGAATTACGAGAAGTCTATCAAAAACAGCTGGATGAGGTCGTAAAAACGAAATTGCAGGAATTTCAGGCTCAACTTGACACAGCTGAATCCGTTTTTCAAAGCGAATTAGAAACTAGACAACGAGCAATTGCCGAGTGTGCCGCGAGAAAAATTAAAAGCGTTATTGACAAGTGGGTTTTGATGAAATGGCCATTTTAGTAGACTTGAAATATGAATATGAATAGAATCCTTTCCCTCCACGAATGATGATACATTTCTTTTTTCTTTTTAGGCACCAGCTGGAAATCAATTTATTGGAGGAGAAACACAAGGAGGAAAAACGACTGTTTGAGATTCAGCTGGCACAGGCTGTGCAAAAAACATCAATATTGGAAGGGCATTTGAATACTCATCGCACCACAAAAACTCAATTGGCCGAGCAGCTTCATTCGGTTATGCAAAAGCAATGGCAGCAAGCTCTGCATATTATTTCAGGTAAATGCTCATTGTTAGACACTTTATCAATGGGACAATTATTCACTCAGCTTCATATCGTAATATATGAATTCAGGAAGTAATATGGAAAACTTAACACCAATTCAACGAGTAAACGCTGAGAAGTTCATCGATGCAAGAAACTCGCGGAGGTGCGAATCTCTAGGAAACTGTTGCGCAAAGGAATACGCGGAGCCAATGAGATTAGAATCACGCTCAACGGTCACACATAACTTTACCAATGTTCAGCCGCGCGACGAGCAAGATGAAAGTTTAATAACTATATCTCCTGAGGTAACTCCTTTGACTAGTAGAAAGGAGTCAAAAGATGATTTACGACGATACATCAAAATGGTAACTACTTGCTATTAATTTTACTACCTTGGCAATATACTATATAGAATTTATTACAGATACTGGATATGCAGCAGCCCAGGGATAAATTTACTAAGACAGATTTAATAGAAAGCACTTCAAGTCCAACTCCAATATCCAGGGAAGTACCGCGGAAGCATTATACAAAAAAGGAACTGAGTATAATGAGCGAAGATAGTATCGCTTGGCAGCCCACATCAGAGGTACATTATAAAAAACGAATAACAATTCTTATTTACAATTACCATTCATTACTCTTCTTTAGCTTTGACAATCCTTGTCGCATTTCGTCCAGGTATCTGTCCAGGAAACGACCGACGAGTACATTTCGATTCCTCAAAAATTGCCTGCGAAGGCAGACCAACAGAAGATCAAACCGCCTTGGAAGTAATACATGGTGCTTATACTGACACAATCAATAATCAAGTGGGTCACTTGTCTATAACTATAGTAAAATACGTCCTTGAATAATAGTATAATTAATTTTGATAACGATATATGTATTTGTGCGTGTAAGGACTTTTATTAGCTTACACTCATTTAATAAAATAATTGTACGTTAACAATAGTTATGTTTCTTTTGCCAGTGAATCAGTCAATCCGTCCTATCACATGTGTTCACAATATTTCTGTTATCGTTCGAATGTAAAGAGGAAAAGGATGTTTGATAAGTTCGACGAATTGATAGCCAGCGTGGTTATCATTGAAAGCAAGGAAGATACGCGTGTTTGTATTAAATTCTCGATTAATGAGGTTCTTTGAAATTGCGCATTATAACTAAGAATATTATTCAGTTAATACTGGCAATGAAAATCAAATAATCTCTGATGTCACGTGAGATACCAAATAGAAATGATTTAATACTCCTGAACGATAACATAAACGTCATTTACTATACTGCATGCATTATATTACGACGTTCGTGACACGTTTGTATTCGCGAAAGGAAATAAGTTGCGGCTACTGTAATAGAAATGGCTGATTAGTCATTGGGAACAATATAGAAATAACTGACAATAAATATACGACTCCTTATTGTTCATATAATAAATTATATTGGTTTCTATTCGAACAAAGTACCGTATAGCCCTACGCATCATTTCAGAATGGTAAACTTTAAAATAAAAATAAATAACGCCTAAAAACACGCAATGATTCATTCAAGTTATTAAGAATGGTTCGGTTGTGTTTTAAAACGATTTTAAAAATGGTGTATAAATATGTACAACACGTACTTTTTCACGAGATGGTATGCTACGATATTCAGGGAACTGTTACTGAATCGCTACTGTCTTCCAACGGCTCATGAATAATAAATATTACAAAGCAATGACTATCGACTCTAACACGAATGCATTCCGTTCATCGACACCAACAGAAAAATTCAAGACCTTTCACTGCGGACCTGTACCTTTTATTTTAGGGCTCAGTTTTAAATTCTTGGTCAGTTCAATCGTTCCAAGTATATCGTACTAAAGCATAATTCTAATAACTTTTAATAAGTGTTCATCGTTTTCTGTCAAATTATACAATCGCTATATAATTGATAAAAAGTCGAAACGGAGAATCTGATTGACAAGCAAGAAACAGCGAAGAATGTAAAGAGAGAAATGCGATAATGGCTACCCCCCTTCTCGTATACAGATAGTCCTCAGTCCTCAGTCCTCAGTCCTCATAGTCTATCCGTTCTTTAGACTTACGCGTGACTAAGCAAGAGAGAGTCAGTCTAACAGCGGGAGTAGCTCGTGCCGATAGTAACTCGTGTGCCGGTTCTACTGTGAACACGCGACGACAAACGAAGATGACGTATTTACCTATTGGATGTTTGAAAATTCATCTTTTTATTTTACTGACACTGGTTGCCTGTCTTTTAAAAGATTCTTCGGCTCAATGGAAGTATCGCGAAGATAAAACCAAGTGTCCTAAAGTCAAGGCTATTCGGAATTTTGATATATCCGAGGTAAGAATGGTAAAAAAAAAACTAGATATTTTTAAATAAATTTTTTAAATGGTTTGTTAGACCTTTGGAGACTGTGAAAAGTGTTATTTGATGTTTCCCCTAGCGGGCTACATGAAGCTGTACAGTTTACAGTGTTTATGACATAAGGTTGCCCTTGTGGCGTCAAACGATAGGAATTTCGTGGGAACACGAAAGACGGGGTTCCTAAATTAATCATAAGCCTTGAACTATTTCTTTCTTAATTGTGATAATGTCCGCTTTTTTTTCTTCTCTTTATGTAGTTGATTAATTCGTATCGTATTCGAGCAGCGGTTGTGATATTTGAAATTCTATGTTTCTTTAATTATTCAATCGATTGAAATGACGTTTCTGTTGAATCGCAATTTTGGAGGCTGACAACAATTTTTAATATAAATGTAAATTTCAAGTGTGGTCATGACTTTACCACTTGGTATTTGCGCAAAAACGTGGTACGATTGCACATCCTTGACTTGATGTATTAAATATTTTTATAAGGGAAGCTTACGTATATTTTTCTTCAGTGAATGATGAGCCTATTGATATTGCGAATATTATTGTACAAAAAAAAATTATGTAACATCAATCATTGACAGTTTATATAAATACGATACGAATTCTAGGTTGTTATGAGCAAATAATAATAGGACATGATCGATAATTAATTTTTATACATAGATATACCAAACACTTCAGGTACGCGTCATCATTCGATTCTCTTCTACAGCTTTTCCTGTTACGAAAATTTTATCATTTGCTTTGACACGAGACATGTAACATAGTGATCTTCCAGCCAATCTAAATTTAACAAATAGTTTACGTTTCCCTTGACTTCCCAAAATATTCTTGCTTAGCTGTTCAACCACGTAATGAGTGTATAGCATATTTACGTTGGAAGATAATTGAAGGTTACCAACACTGTATGAATAAAATCTAATTTATTTACTGATAATATTAAAAAAATTCAAAATCGTGGAAAATTCAACCGTCCCTATGAACGTTTTGTATGCATCAGGCTGCGTTCGTGGTTAAAAATATCACCGAGTGACAAATTCGGTGCCTACGACCTGACCGTGTCTGAGCTGCATTGTACGGAAATCTGCAACTAAAATGCAGAAATCGATAAAACTCCTCGATATTCAATTAAACAGAGCCATTAAAAATTCTTCATATCCGTAAATTAAATTCGTGAAATATATTGACCGCAATTTATACAATCCTCTATAAAAGACAGTAGCACAATATAAAGACACAAAGGATACCGAAGTCTACAATTTTTTAAATCCCCAAACACTATAGATACCCTCCCTGAAAAAATTCAGCGAGGTCATGACGTTTTACTATGCACATAAATCCCAACGCTAGAAATAACTTGACTGTTGACTACATCGAAGATTCGGGGTTATTGGGCCACTCCATAGTCCAGTTAGTGTCATTCGATACCGATCATTAATCCCTTTGAGGATCGAGCTGCGTAAGATTCATGCCTGGTCATTAAAAATCGTACGAGCACATTAATCAGTGAAAAAGTCATTAACTCACAAGGTAAGAGTCGAAGGATCCAACGAATAAATTAAACGTAATAAACAATAATACATGAAGCCCATACGACTCTTTAGGAAGATCGAATTACAGTCTTCGAACAAATTGGCTCCAATTCCATTCTAACCTGTAACTCGTAACACACAAGAACCTGTTGTAATTTGTGTGTCTGGTTGTCCGAACAAATCAATTAGTATTGACTCGTGTAAAACGAATTATGAAGTCGAACGTGTAAATAGGCCATTTGCACTGTATGTTTAACCTCACCACCTTATCGGTGATAGCATGCTTTCTTTAAATATGCATATACATTTGTATATCTTGTTCTATAAGTTGATTCGGTAAATTATGAAAACTAAGCATATTATTATTTTATATAGTTTTTGGGATCATGGTACATAGTCCAATACTACGCAAGCTCCGAAGAAGCTCTGGCGTACAGATGTATGAGAGCGGAGCTTTCAGTCTCGCCAGAAAAAGCCGAGGTCACCATGAACTTTACCTACAGCTTTACTGATGACCCCATAAACGAACAACTCGTTGGAAATATCACATGGAAAATACCATCGCCAGATCTTCCAGCGCACTGGGTACATGCGGAATTTCCATGTGAGTGACGAAGCTGTGTGTGCATCTTCGGAAAAAATATTTTCTATATTTATGCTATCAAGTATATTTTGTAGTAACTTGGATAAATTAACGTACGCGACGTGTACATGTTATATTAACTGGAAGATTTATACTGATCCTATTATTTATCTTCTAAACGTAGACGAAGGCGTATACAACACGTACGTCTTGGACTCGGATTATAAATCATGGGCACTGCTTATGCATTGTGCGGAAAAAAGTAAAAGTCCTCGTTACTTGTCAAGTTTCATCATGAGTCGTGAGATGAATCTTGGTATAAACGTCATTTCCTATCTTCGAGAGAAATTACCAAGGCAAGTAATAAGCTTGACGTAGCTAACAACTAATGAATCAAGACATTTATAAATGAAGCTCAAACTGAAATTATTGGTATATCGATCTTGGACTGTTGATTGTTTGAAATATAAAAAAAAATGTTTATAGGTACGATATTGATTTGGAATACATGTTTCCCATGGAGCAAGGTAATTGCAGTACGATGGATCCAGAATTGCATTTCAAAATTCCACCAGAACTTGTTGCTAAGAGGACATATGCAGCCAGAAGACATCCATTAAGGAGAAAGCATAAACACCTTTAATTTTGTGAATTCTTATTGGGAAGGACAGTTTAATATATTTCATTGACTTATGTCCTGAATAATATACCTGGAAATTTTATGGAATTAAGCAGAGTGTGTATATGATACTGTTATGAGGGCGGCCATATTGGCATGCTCTGGTTCTATTTTATTCTTCAAGGTGTAAAGGAATTGTACATAACTCAGAAAAATTTCATTGAACTTTTACTATTTCTTATGAAATCATACTCTATGAAAATGGATATACAAATACGTAAGCGCTTAAAGTTTGCCTATGGTTCTTCATTTTAATCTCAAAATCGGTAGTACTCGTTAGTAGTAACTATTCACTACCAAACACGTATCTGGCTACACTAGTTTACAGTGGAATCTAGCTCATTTCCATTAAACTGATTAATGCTGGTGATATATATTATGAAAATGGCATATTTTGATTAAACATTTTATAGTTTCTTACTGTTAATATACTGTGTGTATTTATTGATCACGGTGCGTTATTTATAGACTCGTTAAACGACGTACTTTATAAGGTCTTGTCGTGGATAAAGTATCAAGTGAATTATCTGTAGCTATGCGATAGATTGATTATCATGATTCCGTAATTATAACAATAGCTGTATACAGAATTGTGTAAATAAAACATCATTATATGAACAGACATAGTATAAGTGTTATAGGAGCAATTATTACCGCCAGATTTGTGAATCGAATAAATTTAATATTTCTGTTATATTACGTACTTGTGTATCATTTTGTTCAAAGCGCATTATTATTTAATACAAATATTATATGTTTACCTAAGTAATTCTCTAAAAGTTTTATTTTTATTTAACTAATAAGCGTAATGTCATATGAAACGAAGAATCAAACTACGTTCCTGTCTCATGAGGAATTCGACTATTACGTGTTGTCAACGTGGATAATGTGATCAGAGTATTTATTTCATGCGAAGAAAGTACTTTATCTCTTTCAATATAATATTCGAGGTCATGCGAACTTTATTTGGAGAAAGTTTCATCTTCCTAATGATAACGAGGTTCTCAGAACTTCTTCCCTTGTTACTAAATCTAGTACAGGCGAATGGAAAGGCAATGCATGCTAGAAAAGTAAAAGAAAATTGAAAAGTAATGCGAAGCCATAAATCTTGTTTATTTCTTAGGAAAATCTTTCTTTTTTTTTTAGTAAAAATGTAGCAGCAAGGCTTCGAGTCCAACTACAGCTGACGTCAGTAATTTGAATATTTAAAGCATTTAGAAAATTCGATTACATTTTATTCTAAATAAAATTTCCTAATAGTACTAGATACTTATTCTTCGCGTAAATAAACACTCGCAGCCCTTCCACTAGTATTTATACTTGAGAATCTCCTGTTTATTAACCATTGACTTCTATAAATTCCTTCGCTTCGTATTCAGAAAGTCAGCAAAAATTGTATACCCTACGAACAATCTATAGATAAGCTATTAAATTGATTGATTTAGGAACGATTTAATCGAAAAATACAACTTCGATACTTTGGGCTAGTTTTATTAATTCAATTAACAACGTGTTATAATACTCTTCATTCCTCTCATTTATAAGTACATAATTATAATGAACTGTTATTGTTTCCTTTAGACCCGTCGTCTTTCAACGTCTTAGCTTAGCTCATCCACTTTTAAAGATACATACTGCCAGCACGTAAGGATCATTACGATCATTACCGCTCATCAACATCATCATAATCAGCATCACTCTAATCAATACCATTATCAGCATCATCATCATTATCATCATCATTAGACATCATTCAACGCACCTATTATTTATTTACTGGATATGGCAGCTACAACTTATAAGAAAAGTTACAAAATCACTTACTGTTTTTTCTTTTATCATTTTTTTTTTGTTATTTATGCGCTTGACGATCATCATGCATACTCGTAGTTACACCAACGTGCTCCGCTCACTATAATGACTATCGATCATTTTCCTTCGATAAATCGAATCGCGCTTCTCGCTATACCCTGTTCAGAACTCCGCTCAAAACTTTACCTAAGAATTATTTAGGAAGGCCTTCCTAGATCGGGCCATAAAGATTCCTCGTAATCCCGCGGCTGCTGTGATACACGCTCAACGTCCCGTCTCGAATGAAATTCAGAATCGACTGGCGTCCACGTAACAATAACGGACTCGTAACAGCTGCTTTTTCTCGTAAAGGGAAGACGCGTTTAAAGTCAGGGGAAGAACGTGCCCAGTCCGCGCCGAGTTATCATGCCGGGATAAGAAATATAGCGAACGATAATATCGACAGAATAGAACGGGTTCTGCACTTGGTAATACGAGAGGCAAGTAAAACAGATTTGGGGTGCAACACGTCACACCATGCCCGCACGTGCACGCATTCACTCCGACATTCCTACGGGTTGCGTATGCAAATTTCTAGTAGTCTTCTAGTAATTCATTATTAATTAGTTACACAATTAATTACCTATTCGTTAAACCTGTTTTAATGTTAATTTTTATATAGCTGGTAAACTATCTATTTACTTGAGTTATGTTATAAATATCTATATAACCGCGTCTCTTCGTCATTCGATTATGCGTTTGTACGAGGGTATGCGAACCGGGTGATTCTAGATGGTTTACTCCTTAGGTTTCTTGTTACTTTTTTTATGTCTTATGGTGTCTGGGTAGTTTCCCTTATGTGTTATGTATTATTTGCGCGTGTATGGATGTACGTGTACACGTGAATGTATAATGCCCGTCCCTATACCTATATGGCTCTTGATATGGTCATCGTGCATCAGTCTGTCATTACCTTGACAGGAATCATGAGAACCTTTTGATGAATAACGAATTACTAATAGAATGATGTGAATGCTCGAGATCAAAGGTTGTCGAGGCAAGTGACTGATGCGTGATCCCATATAAATCCTGGTGTCCAAGGTCAGCTTCGTGGCCTTAGGAGTTCAGAAGGAAAATGGAACATATGTGTTCATGGTAAACTTTAAAAAAATAAGGTACGCGCAGTGTTATTCCGTGTACCACACGCTGAGAGTGGATTTTCATTGATGATTCAATGCGGGATATCGGTATAGCGATTGACTGCGGCTTATGAGAAGTAGTTATTGCGGTGGGTCAGTAAATATCGGACGAATTCAAGCCTCGTAATTCTTTCCGTTACGCTGATGGCGATCTAATAGTTAAAGATAGTTAATTATGGAAGTTCAAGTGACGATGGTAACCACCTTAACCGGGATATCATACATCATCCTTATCATCTGTACAGCAATATATCTCGTCCTGAGACACATTCTCTTAGTCATTTTCCGTCATCCATTCGATGATTATGGTGAGATCACAGTACATGCCTAATTTCCAGCTAAGTGTTACCATCTGCTTTTAAATTAAATTCGAGTATGCATCGTGGCGTAAGGCGATTCTATGATTGCGAAAAAAAACAATCGCAATGTCTCGTAGAGTGTTGTTGCCTGAACCTTCGATTAAAGTGTCTTTTCGTAAAGGACTTCATAATTAAAACCCTTGCCCCAGGGCTTCCTAAATCAGTCGTAGTAGCTCCAGAGACCGCGCAAAGGTTGTACCGCGAGGAACGATCAAAGTCTCAGGAATTAATGAGTTATTAATAAGGAATGTAATTCCCCATGTGAATTAGTCGATGCTACGACGGCCGATAAGAATTGATTAAGGCGCATAAAGTAAAAGGCGCGCGTCATCCATTTTTCTCCTGATTCTCCGAAGCTTGATTAATCGGCATTAATCACGAATAGGATCGTTTCTTCTGTTGTGTAAGTTATTTTAATATTAATCATGAACACGCGGCCACAGTCACTGGAGTCGTCGTCTCTTGGATGACTTCATTTTGATTGGTCTAATGTCCGTGCTTCCGTCACTCTTCATGACGGATTCACGGCATCACGGGTTATCGGATCGATTAGACCCGTTTAAAGAGGAGCCTTGATACACGAGATTATTTATTTCGCCATCACTGCTTCAACCTGGACGAGCCATTGCAGTCCGACGTAACCGCGTGGGTCGGCGAAGACCGCTGTCAGTAGACCCAAGACACAGGAATCCATTGTGGTGTTGTATGTACCCGCTCGATCGCCGCCTCCAATTGCGCGATCGTCTCCTCGATGTCGTTGTTTACGATCGTCAGGTCGAAGAAGTGTCCATACGCCTGTTTCAGCATTTCCGACTCCTTCGTCAGCCGTTCCAGGCTGCCGTCGTACTGAAATAAGTTTTCTTTCGTTATCCACAGGAAGCACTTTCCTCAGCTAAGGTAGACCTTTGAGTATACCGTGTGAGAATGATCTACCTCTAGTAACAGGTTTACGAGCTAATAAATTCTTTCTCCTTTATGAGCCTATCTCGAGAATCAACCCTAAACTTACATCGGTCATATTCTGTAAAACTGGTGCAGCTATGAAGACGACGTACGGCGCGAATTCGGCAGTTCGCAGAACCTTCAGGGCTTGGGGCTCCACGTCAAGAATAGCCATTCTACCTTCCTCGTGGATCTTACGTATGGTCTCTAGTTTCGTACCGTACATAGCATCTTCGTGGGTTCCTAATACATAGAAATATTAAATTATATATAATCAGCGAAACTATAAAATTTAATGTAACCCGTGATATTTTAATTGTAGATCAATTACCGTATTCCAGGTACTCGTTTGCAGCGATATCCGCCATCATCTCGTCGTGCGATACGAAATAATAGTTGCGTCCGTTTTCTTCGTCGTTTCTCGGAGGCCTCGTTGTATCTATAAATTCATTTATGATGTTAGAATTATTCTATTATATATACATGCAGCATTGTATGGAATATTGAATGCACTTTAAGAATACAATTTATGGGAGACACTCACGCGGAATAGGATAGGCATATTTATCAGGATGCTTGGCGATGATGGTGTTTTTGATATGGCGACGGCCAACGCCATGGGCTCCCAAGAGTACTAAAGTTTTACGTTGGAAGGCGGGATCTGTTACTGAGAAAAGTTCTCATTAATACAGTTATACGGTATGTACAGTATATATGTATATATATATTCCTGATAAATTACAAGATCAAAAATCGAGTGCGTTTTCCACAAATAAATAATGGTACATGCCAGACATATGGGTGTATTGGGAAATCCATGTTATTGGATATTCGGCACGTATCTGCTAACTAATGGGATTGTTGATTTATAGCGACTATCCTCAAAAATCAGTCGCATCGTCCATCGGCAAAGTACCGCAAACAAATCAACGTAAAAATCGTTATTTAATTATTCCCGTAATTCGTTTAGACGAACGTTTGGACGCTACGTTGATTTTCCGATACACAGTGCGAACTCGAAATTTCTAACTGGTATAAAAACAATTAACACTTTAGGCCTTATTGGTAAAAGTTAAATATACATGGAAATATACTCACAGGGGAGTTTCACAACCTCCTCATACGTAACCAGATCCAGCTGGTCAAAAACTGCATTGTGCTTCGCAAGATACTTATCCTTGTACTGTTTCTTCTTGCGGCCAAATATTGAGCAATTTACTGAAAATAAATAATATCGTTGATCACAAACTGTATAAAACGAAAAATATACTTCCTAATTTCATTCATATTTTTTTCCTTTCATTTCCTTCGTCGTACACCGAACCTCTTACCAATACACGAGTATCGCTTTTACGAAATCCATCATTACATTACTGTACTCGCAAAAAAGACGTTAACCCTAATCGTCTCACGAAGAGATTTCCCATGTCTATCGTATTGCTATATACCAAAAGAGATAATAAGGGTCTAATCCAACCAAAAGAAAAGAAGATCTCGGTACCCGTCGTACATTAGGATCCCAATACTTTTTGGAAAACTTGACGCTGTTATATAAAATATACGTAATCCATGATCCACAAAAAGTTATTGACTCTCGTGGTAAGAGCTAGCGAGACTCCACTCACACGTGTTTCAAGACTCACAAGGATGACATCTCAAATAAAGTATAACAGCAATGACTAAACTTTGAAACAAGGAACGAAAGTTTTTCCGGAAACAGTGCATAACTTAAAGACTTTTACACTCAGAGCATCCTGACAGATGCGAGAATTGATGAAACTGGACTGTTTACAGCGCCACTGCGGCGCGCGAGCGAACCATCTACAGTAGTTTGAATATCGGATAATTCGTAAGCGTTCCTCATCTAATTAAAATGAAAGTAAAGTCACAAAATCAATCACTAGATTTTTAAAAAGCCATACAAAGGATCGGGAATCTCATTGATAGATGTTCCAGCAGGTCACAGTGTGTAGAGCGAGTGAAGAGGAAAATCGGGACCAATTACATAGTATGTATAAGGCACGCGTGAAGACGTTAATTATTCAGTGAAGTCAATGCATTTACAAGAGAGGTCGTGCCAAACAAGCATAAATAAATTTATGACATAAAACATGCAATCTGTACATTTTTCTTACTAAATATCCTAATGGCGTCCCATTGCCTGTGTACTTAAAAATATATCACTGTATAACAAACATGTACTAGCATTTTATCGTAACGTGATATCATACATCCGGCACAGACCATGTTGATGTGTACATTGAATAAATTCCCTTAGTTATGAATGGTATGACAAAATTCGTATCAGCTAATGTCGATTGATATTTTGTTTGTACGTGTTGAAACGAAGAGTGTTGATTCTCTGACGTATTCTCATAATGTTCCACGTTGATGTAAAATAATGACCACGACAGAGTGACGTGTGTCTACCAGGGTATAATCGTACCCTTCGCTGAGATGAAACGCGTATACACAGTTAAAAAATTATATTCGAGATAGCACCTGGCTATACCAATTAATAACCTTTTATAAAAAAATTTGCCATGGACCAGTATTTATCTACTGCCATACCGTTAATTACCAGTATAAATAATAAAAAAATTCTTAGTATAAATTAATACTTAATATTAACCATCTTAATTCCACATAATATTGATAACTCTCTGCCACGTGCCTGGATAACATCAAGATGCACGTGTGACTCGATTATCACATCCAGAAGTGTACCATTAAGTCAAAGTCAATCGTGTATTAATCGAGTGACTCTCGAAGGGCAATTTTTCCTTAGCCAATAAGTAATTCGAAGGAAATTCATAAAGTTCGTATTCCTTGGAGGTCCGAATAGAAGACGAAGAAAATATCGATAAAAAAAAGAAAAACATAGAAATTGCGATGGCATAGCTTTAACGAACAGTGTCACTGGCTATGTTGTCAAAGCAAGTCGTGATGGTCCTTGAGAGATTTCAAAAGCGTAACACTCGTCTCAAAGTCACGACTGAAAGCGTAAAGACGCATCCAGAGTAAAAGCTACCTTGAAAAGCTTCCCATCGAATTACATAATGTTTACGGAAAAGGTGACTTTCTATAACGTGTTCTGTAGGGCATGCTACTAACTTCATCCTATGCGACTCTACGTGTATCTTTCTAGCTTGCAGGCAGAGTCGTACCTGTCGAACCGTCGCATCCTTCCGTGTGAGAAGAACATCCTCCTTCCCCTTCGGCGTCTAGCTCGCACAACATACAATAACATAAACGTCACTGCAGCTAATTGGGAATCGTGCTAGCGCGACAGGAAGTCCTTTTTCTATTTCATTCCTTTATTTCTTGTCGACTCTCGAAATGCCCGTAAAATCTATATTATTTTCTAAGAGATACGAATGACTAGAGAATGCAACGACAATTTGGTCGATTACTTACGAATTTCATAGATTGACGTTTATTATTTTCTGACAGTGAAATGCTCGAATTGGGATTATCGGGATCGCATTAATTTTTGAAAACGCGATTGCGTCATGGGATTGATGGAATTTTTTTTAGAGCACTCTTTTATTACTGGCCGATCGTCTATCAGCCTCAGATGATAAACGATAGCAAATCAATTAAATTCGAAGTATCTGGATAAGTCGCGACCGTACTTATGACACACATCAATATAATATACGACATTGATAAATTAGTGATACAAACAATTCTGTATATACATATACGTATGTATATATACATATATAAACAATTCTTTAATAGCAACACTACGCACAGAATTTCCATACATAATGCGACATTTAATAGTATGATTCTAGTAAAACGTCTTCAATAATTTTTTCATCGATTTATTCGAATTACGAATATTACGCGATACGTGAAATTGCGATTCTACGATACGAGTGACGATCGATTGGATTGAAGAATTTTGGAATCACATAAAATGAATATTAAAAATGATAAAAGATATTTTACGAGTTCTTTCATATATTCCAAAAAAAAAGCATCTGTGATTAATTTAATCACGAGCTGATTAACGCGATACCCGCGATACATGCTCGGATTAAATGGGAATGAGACGTAAAAAAAAAAATAAATATTCACGAACCTAATGGCGTATTAATTCACCATGATACCAGTCGGACGTGTAATAATGACACCGCATGCTCCATCAAAATCCCACACAAAAAGAAACATATACAGCTCATGGTGACACCTGTACAATATTAATGATCGCATTCAGTTCATATGGGAGAAGATACATGGAACTCAATGTAAAGCCAAATGATATAGTACTGTAGTGATATTAATCGAAAATACGACAACGTCGAAATATCTATCGGGTAGGATATAGGAAATTTTCGAAATCCATCGCAAATAGATCTTTCAATTCATCGTATGTCGAAAAATTCAATATTCTCATGACTGGCGCATATTAAACGATGCGATCTGCTGGAACAGTTTAATACTTCTCACTGTTCCCTATCGGTACACATATATCTACACATATATGTATCCCCCTATAAAAATCATCCAAATTCGATATTATAGACCATCGGTTCGTTATAAAATTATCGTTGAAATTTTAAAAAGAAAAAAATCATTATACCTTGTTCCTGTTTAGTTTTCTCCATAGCTATACAGGCAGTGCGCCATTCTTGGAGTTCAGGCGAAGGTATCAGACCTGCGGATCCAGCCGCGTTGTCCTTTCGTGCCTGCCACCAATGATGATCATCCTTACTGATGATTTGCAATATATCACCAGTCTGAAAAGCGATTCCAGCCTGTGCGCATGGTATCAGCTCGTCTTCCAAAGGATCGTAGTCGAATTGGGCACGTACGAAAATCTACGACAGTACAAAGCGTTGATCAAGTATCCATATGATAACGTAACGTCCGATAAGTAAGGATAAAAATCACACGAAAAGGGTTCACGACTTAGTCACGATATTAAAACATGGTGTGATTAGATAACGTCTTTCTCAACATATCGTACAATCGTTAACAGTGTATTTAAACAATCAATGGATTAACATCGATACAATTAATTTTTTGATAATAATTATTTACATTTCTCATACAGCCCTGAAGTATATTATGTATATAGGCATTTTTTAAGTATATGCATTTAGTATTCAGCATATATACAATATACGTATACTCGATTCAACATATATATATATATATATATATATATATATATATATATACACACGCAATATACGTATACTATATGTATGAAAATCGAGTTTTTCATTATAGCAGAATTATATCATCTTCTAACGATGCATACATTGAACCGCGTCATAAAAAGCTGAAGCACTAAAGTAGTGGACACGTACAGGGCACTCAGCGAACTTTGGCCTCTACTTAAAAAGTGCGATATGCTACGTGTCGACGGTGTTAAATGTGACAGTAAAATCGGTGTAGGGGGTATTTTGTGTAAAGAGGGTTGATTCCAGTGGCAGTCGGGT